GTGGTTAAAATAACCCCTAAAGTTAGTCCCTTAATTTTGGTCCCCTAGGTAACGTCTCCTGGGTTACAGCTTTTATAAATGACCTTTTGAATTGAGCGTAAATTTTTTGGTGCTGCCCCCTTGCGGCAATGTATTTGGTAACAGATTTTAGACTAAAAAAACTTTTAGTAGGAAATTTTTAGTAGGAAATGGTGTTTTAAACTACTTGAAGCTACAACACCTTGTTTTGTATTGTTTATACCAGCGTGGCAAAACTGTGCATTCTCCTGTGTCACAGTAATAAAAAGTAGTAAAGGAACCAGTTGGACTTTGTTTGATTCTCAAAAGTAAGTATCACAGTAATGGTTTTAAGGGAAAAAATACAATTTTTTATCTTTAAAACAGTAAAGAGGTTATATTCTAAAAACATACATTTTCTGTTTCTGACAGTGCGTAGCCAATTTAAAATAATGTCCTCCACCTTTTTAAAGCCTAGTAATTTTCCAATGTATTTTTCCTCAAAAAAAGCCGGAAAATTTTTTTGGTATACCACTATAGTTTATAAAACAATGTTTATATTGCCTTTTTTATTATTTTATTAATATTACTAATAACTAAAAAATATATTAATTTATTGCTCGTTGAATTGGACAATCTAAAGATAAAAAATCGAGAAAAAACGTTTTTAATACGCATTAAAAAAATATTTCTTAAAGTCACTTTTTTTAATGGACATTTTTTAAATACAGAAAATATTTAAAAATACATAATCTTTAAGACTTAAAACAAGACTAACCTGAATAAAAAAAAGAAAATGCAGATAGAACACTATAATTCTCAGGTGACGATATGTATGTATACATACAGGGTGTTATGTAATTAATGTTATATATTAAAATACTGAATACCTTTTGACATAAGGAGCAAAGGAAAAATATTTAAAAAAATATTTTTCCAAAGATAAAGAAAAAATAGGCATTAGAAGTTTTTTATATTTTTTGTGATACGCCACTGCTTACACACTTTTTATCTCTGCACACTTGTGCAGTGTTGCCAGTGGTTGGAAAGATAAAGTACCAAATTCGACTTTTAAAATGTACCAAATTTCCCTGAAATGTACCACTCATTTAAATGCATAGAAATAATACTAGTATTATTTCTATGTTTAAATACAATAAACATAAAAGTTTTTGGGCTTTTCGTTTTTTTCCCAAAACTAAATATAGCGCGATGTTGCCAACAGACGAATAAGAAAATAAAACGAATAAAGATAGGCGATTTTAATAACGCTATTGTAAGACAGGAAGCGGAATATTGGGAAATGACCGCGAAGTAAGAAAAACAAAGCAGCAACTTTATTAAAAATAGGCAAAACATTGAAAATATATCAAAATTCATTTCATGGAAATGTACCAAAATTGTCCTTGCATACTATAGCACCTCTGTACCACAATAGCACCAAACGTACCAAAAAGGTACAAATGTACCACTTCTGGCAAGACTGCACTTGTGTTCTGTGAGTACATAGATACCAACCAACAAAGTAGCTGCGCGTTGCCAGATGTAAAAAATTGTTACTAAAAATTTTTCTGTTTACTCAGATGAAATTGGACCAGTTCACAGGTTAAACTTTAAACATTTGATTTGTATAAATAAATCCAAAAGCACTTCCCTTAGTTAAAATATTTTCAATTTGAGCACATAACCTAAAATTTGAAAGAAATGCACTAGATTCTGTCATAAAAGTTGGCAGATTTAGATTGAATTTACCTTCAGTACAAAAATGACATAACCAACAATTAATAAAAACGCCAAATTGACAATTTGCATTGTTAATTTTATCACTTTTGTAATTAAGCTAAATTTAAACAATGTTTGTCAACTTGTTTGACAAATTTTGAAAACGCTGTTGTTACCAACCAGGGTTACCAACCATAACATAATAAATTAAATTAGGCAACCAGATGACCTTAAAGTTCCTAGTCGATCAGTGGCGTACTTTTTGGTAGGATAAAGGATATTATAAATTATTTTTAGTCTTTGGAATTTAGAAAAAAAAAGTTTCAGGTGCTTCTTTATGGACCCTAAGGAACAACCCATTTTAATATATAACATTAATTACATAACACCCTGTATACAGAGTGACCCATTTGAAAGCGGGCCACCCTCATAATTTTTTTATTTATGGAGTGATTTTAACGATTTTTTTTTAAATGTGGAGGGGGCAAAGGTGTATTTTAAAGCCAAGCGGCGTCCAGTTTTTTTAAAAACGAAGGCCTACTAGATCACATTTAGAGGCTGAAAAATGCAGATTCCAAATTAGCGATTTTTTTAGAAAAAATCCGCGTACGCCACTGGAATTGGCGTCCTCTGAAATAGATCTATACCAAGTTTCATGAAAAAATATTGAACATGAACTATTCTATGACTAAATTACTGTCAAGTTGTTTATTATCCATTAAGAAGCTTTTTATCTATAGTAACCCATGCGATAATAGTTATTTACGATATAAGTGGTATAAGAGTACGTTAATAAAGCGTTATCACACGTTAATAAAGCGTTATCACACGTATATTGTACAAATTTTTATCTACGCCTCTAAATGAAAAAATAAATGGTAATTATTTTTGTCTAAGACTTAATTTAGGGTTATTTTGACATTTTAACATTTTGACTTTTTTATTTGATTGGTTAAAAGCAGAGAAAAACGCGTGCGTTATTGAACTTCTTATCTCACTCAAAATGAGTGAGATAAGAAGTTCTAATCTCACTGGCGTAGATAATATATGTTTTACATGCATTAACTAAAATTAATAAATCTCGACTCCACAATCTTAGTCTTAATTAAACATGCTCTAAAAATACAGCTCCACAGGGATGAACAATATTCATAATAGTAGGCTTTGCAATTACTAAAGTCACAGATGACAAGTCAAAATTTGACATTTAATGTAAGCTAAGTATTGAAATTTACGTACTGTCAATAAGTATGGCTCATAATTTAACGTTACTACATAAGATTGAAATAGTAAAACTTCATGGTGACAGAGACAGGTCCGGAAGGGAAGTATCTCGAATTTTTAATGACAGACCGTTGTGAGAGTGTGCAATATTTTTAATGAATATGGAGCTGTATCTAAGCACATTTTAAAAAATATTAATGTAGTACAACGGCCAAGAAGAAGCAATGAACGAATTCGAAATTATTTCATCGGAAATCCGAGAAAAAGTTTAAGAATTGCAAGTTTGGACCTCCAGTTACCACGGGAAACAATAAGGAGAAACCTTAAAAAATACAGTAATACAAAGCCTTTTAAACCAAAATTTATCCACACCTTAGAAGAAGGTGATAATGATAAGCGAATGGAATATTGCTTATGGTGCCATGGAGAATACCTTAATGACAGAAATTTTCTAAAAAAAGATTTTGTTTAGTGACGAGGCAACATTTACTACCAATGGAACGGCAAATTCAGAAACACGAGGCACTGGGCCCAAGAAAATCCCGAATGGGTAATAAACTGTAAGCGACAATATTCACAGAAGGTGTTTACGTTTGTATGGTGCGGTATATTAAATACCAGAATAATTGGCCCCTTCTTTTTTGAAGGCAATTTGAATGGCCAAAGTTTTTTAAATTTTTTAAACAATGAATTCTCGGATGCTATTGATGAACTTCCACTTGTAGACGTGGTTGGTCTACTGTTTCAGTTAGATGGCTGTCCTATTCACAATGCCAGGGATGTGAAAACGTGGCTGGAGGAAAATTTTCCTAATCGGTGGATCGGGCGAAATAGTAGATTAATACAATTTCCTCACAGGTCTCCCGACTTAACGCCCCTAGATTTTTTTCTATGGGGGTTTATTAAAGAAAAAGTGTACAAAACTCGTCCAACCAACGCAGAAGAACTCCGCGAAAGAATAAGACAGGCATGCACTGAAATTAGACCACACCAATTGTCTAATGTTATGGCTAGTAGTATGTTAGTAACATTGAAAGATGATACAATAAATGCATTCAATTAAATGGAGATTTGGTTGAAAAATCTAGAATTTAAAATTAATTCATGTTTGTTAATTTAATATTATTTTAGAATAATGTCTATTGAATGTTATTATTAAATAAAGTTGTTGTAAAACATTTATTATCGCATGGGCTACTAGATAAAAAGCTTCTTAATGGATAATAAACAACTTGAAAGTAATTTAGTCATAAAATCGTTAATGTTGAATATTTTTTCGTGAAACTTGGTATAGATCTATTTTAGAGGACGCCAATTCCAGTGGCGTACGCGGATTTTTTCTAAAAAAATCGCTAATATGGAATCTGCATTTTTCAGCCTCTAAATGTGACCTAGTAGGCCTTCGTTTTTAAAAAAACTGGACGCCGCTTGGCTTTAAAATACACCTTTGCCCCCTCCACATTTAAAAAAAAATCGTTAAAATCACTCCATCACTTTCTGGGTACTGATTTTTACATGAATACAAAAGTTAAAAAATCAAATGAAAAACTATACCAATTTTTAAGGCATGATTGTAAGAAAACGGTTAATCTGACGGAAAATTTCAATCAAACCTTTTTTGTAGAGCATTCAATTTTCTTCAAAAAAGATTCTTAAGACAATTTTATAAAACTCAATGGTTTGGGAATTCTGAGACAAAAACTCGCTCAGGAAAAAAATCTTAAATTGCGATGATTAACCTCTTAATATTAATATTATGGACTCAAACTTTCACGATAATTTTTTTTTGTCACCCCAAACAATATTTTCGATATACTTTTCAAAAAAAAAATAGTTGATTTTTTTGGCCCAGTCTAATATACAATAAAAAATTAAATGGAAATTTGCAGCTGTAGAACTCAAAAAATGGATTTAAGGTGTCAAGTTTCACAAAATTCATAAATGCTAATATCTAAAAACTAAAGATTTTGGAGTACCGTAAGGTCACATTTTGATACAATAATTGGTCATGAGCAGGCCCTCAATAAATAATTATTGATTAAATTAAAATATATTACCAATAACTGCAGCTTTTACACTTTCTAAAGCTGTCCCCCCTTGTTTCAATACATCTATGCCCTTTATACATGCTTTTTTAGATAACTTGTTATATTTTCTATGGTATTTTTTATTGTGATATCCTGCACCTGAAAAATAAAAAAAATAAATAAATAATTAACAAACTACTCCTACTAGTTACCACAATGAACAGCAATCATTATCAGTTACTCAATATTTTTCGTAAAATTACAATAAATTAGAAAATATAATAAATATTTATTTCTTTTCACAATTTTTTGGCCTTAAGCTTATTTGAAAGCTATTTGGCCAATAAATATTTCAATTTTCGTTTATTCCATAAAGTTAGGCACAGAACAAAGTTAGGTTAAAAATCCGACAGTTGTCAATTACATGCGATGTTGCCATCATGGTTTGTTCTGTGCCCATAATCGTAGAAAACCAGATATAAAGCCTGATTTATAGATTGTCTTCCTTCCTTCCTCCTTTCCTCTCGTAAAAGATGAACAATACGAAAACCGTAGTCCCGTACGGGATTGTTTATCTTCTACGGAAGGAAGGCAATCTATAAATCAGGCTTAACTATTAGTATAATACCCAAGCGTAAAATTTATTTCGATAGTTACTGGCTTTTAAAAATGTTTTAGGCACACAAATAACGCCTGTTAAAATAGGGTAAACAATTTGTTTTAAATAGAACATTACAGACAAAAATCCATAATAATTGTCCCGTAAAGTGGCTCTATCTATCAGTATTTCTTGTAAATGGCTGAAATGCGCGAGGTTTGCGTCTGAAAAGCGAGCGACAAAATTTCTTCAGTATTTTTCGATCGACGGTGTTGTGTACTTCGACGCGCTGTGGATTTAATAGAATTTTAAATAAAATCTAAACATTTGAACTTTGCAAAGTGACAGTACACTAAAGTTATCATTTAGTTCACGCACCCTGCGTTTTGTTTTTTAAATAACCTATTCTCGGTGAACTGTTTGTTATTGTTTGGTTATTATAAACAACCATATGACGACGGTCATGCTTTTTTAAGTATATGGTAAGATATTGTTTACATTTTTTGTAATTGCATAATTAAGTGTCCACCTGGATAATAGGATTTTAAAATATTTATTTATTAATTGTCAAAACACTCGCGTTGCATTATTTATTTATACATACCTCAACAAATACAATTTTTTAAGGCCAATAACCTAAAGGACATTGTCCATTAATATATAATTTGCTATTGTTTATTCTTATCTGGAAATTCAATTTAATAAACAATTGTTTAATGATGTCCTGCTGCATAAAAAAGTAGTTACCTTATTTTAGTACACTTTTCTTATAATTTTCTAAACCTACCTATGTATCGAATTTAATAATTATTCATGCTGTTTATGCAACTTTCTATTGTTATTTACGGCGAATTGTAGGCATACATAGGAACTACGCAATTCTTTTGCAATATTACCTACCTACTTGAATAATTTATTTTATCTCTAAGCGGTTTATAAATTAAACTTTATTGTCATCAAACTGTGAAACAGAAGTGATTTATTATAATTATAGCACATAAGAAATCATTATATGCGTCGATTTCATTATGCACCAATCATAAAATTCAACATCTATCAGACAGTTCTAACCCCACTTTCTACTTTTAATACATACCCAGACTGCAATGAAGGTTCGAAAATATTCCAGGAATATTCCCTATCGCCTAGGAATAATCCGCTTCATTCTAGGAATATTCATTGGGAATATTCCTAGAATGATCCTCTAAAACTTCCAAGCATCATCTAAGAACATTCCCAGTGAATATTCATTAGTTTAGTTGCAATACCTCTCACCGTTGCTTACGCACGCTTGATAACTATATATACCGATAGGTTAATAATATCAGTTGGACATGTGCGTCTGTGATGGCACATCCAAACAATCATTAGAGTGGGACTGATCTACTCAGTAACTTAATAATGGCTATACTTAATTAAGTTCCTGGGTATAAGGGCTGGGAATAATCCCCAAATTATATTAAGGAATATTCCCCTAACAATCCTTGAGTCTACTGCAGGCAGATATATGGAATATTCTTTTTATGATTCCTGGGTTAACCAAAAAGCGGACATTTGATTATGCCAGGAATATTCCTGGGAATATTCTGGGACGCTTGGAATATTCCTGACATGTGCAGGGAATGTGATTTTGCGGTCTGGGTAGATAATAATTGTACGTTTTATGCGTTGTTTAATTATAAATAAAGTTTGCTTTAAATTCTACCTAATTAATGTTTATAAAATTTATATTAAAAACTCTTGAAATTAAAACAGTTTTTCATCTCTTTAATCTGAAAACTTGTTAAAAAAATTTAATTTTAACTTAAAAATGATTTACAAATAAAAGTTAATTAAAAGTTATTACTTTAAAAATGTTATGGATCCACTTAGTTAAAACTAACACATTTTTATTAATTTATTAATTATATATGGACCAAGTATTAATGACATTAATCTATAAACATAAACTCGTCCACAGACTTAATTTGTATTAATAGAAGCTATTTTTGTCTAAATATATTTTTACGTTAAGAACCATTGGTTGGAAATAGATATAAGGAGTTATAATTAAATATGGACCAAAATAAAACATTCTTTTTAAGTTTTTTTATCAACCATTAAAAAATGCTTATTGATCTCTTTAAAAATGTTTCATAGCAAAAAATAATTTACCTACCCATATTAAATTAAAAACCTAACAATGTCAAAGATCCAAAAAATCTAATAATAGATTTTATTTGGTACCTTTTTCAGATATCTTTAGATACATTTAGATGTTATGTTTTTATTTCAACACAGCTCGCGAGCGTGGGTTTATTGACACAAAGCGTAGAAGAAATTTAAAAAATGTTTAAGAAAATAAACAATAAATTTAATTAGGTGACCAACAACGAATTAATTTAAATTAAGTATTCGTGTCTTATACTGCACTCATCATTTTTATTGTTTTTAACAATAAAAATGAACTTTTGTCCTTTATTACTTAATATGTTAGATAAGGCATTTTAGCTTAACAGGGCAGTATAACACACACAAAAAAATTAAATCAAATAAATGTTGTCGTAAAACCAGATAAAAAGTTAATAGTAAATAGTACAAGTAAACCTATAGTTTGATTCCCATTATAAATTTTAAAGGAGAAAGTTTGCAACGCCAGATAGTACCTAATTATAATTAGGTAATGTATTTAGCAACGTGTATAGCAATTTTAGTTATTACGTACGTAAGTCTAGCTTGCAGATATAATTTTGTTTTTGGTGAAACAAATTTGTTTTGAAACATTTTATTACTTATTTTATTTAATTTACTTTATTACCAATTATAATTATTAATTATTTTATAAAGAATATAATTAACGAAGTATCTACCGAGCAAACCAGGCTATTCCATTTAAATACCTTACAAAGCTCTTGCCATATAAAATTGTTTGCATATTAGTTCTCTATTTTGTTACATAATTATGATAAACCATAATAATATAACATTTATATGAGTGGTATACGAGGTGGTATATCCAAAGATATTATCTTTGGGTATACCTATCTACATTGGAACAATGATATATGTAGGTATGGCAATTTTTATAGTATCCATATAACCGTATTATATGGTATTTACATAGTTTTTCTCTTTTTTGTTGCATAATAATAAAAAAACATTATACCTATAATATAATATAATAGTTATTTTATGTCATGACTATATAACAACACTGAAAAAATATTGAATGAACCACCAACATCAACTGATATTTCATTGGAAAAATGAACCTTTTCATTAAGGTAATGCTATTCATAAATCAATATTATGAATTCTTATTCATCCAGATAATGAATGTCACGACCTTAAATTAATGTGAAATGGTAATTACCGCAATATAATTTTTATTAAACTGATGATTTTTTTCATTAAATCAGTAAATTCGTGTATCGTTTGCATTCTGAAACTTTAATGAACAGTAATTATTGCATTAATGCAAACGTCATCAATAAATGAATAGAGAGCATTAAAGTAACGAACTAGTTATTAACTCAATGAGTAAGCTTCATTTTATTAATCCAGGATTTCATTAATTACCAATGAAAAAGTCAACATTGTATTAATGAACACAAATTATCAACTCAATGATTATGATAGATTATATTAATGAATGATTTAATCAATATAAGGAATATGATATCAAGTATAAAGTGTTCTTTGTATTGATGTACCAGTTTCATAAAACCAATACATTTGTCCGCATTTGTCATTAAACGGTACCCTAGTACTTTTTAGAAACAGGCAAAAAAACAAGTGTCTTATGGATTGTACTGTCCGTATTTGGGTTTGAAATAAAACACTTTAATATTATTTAATACACAACCGGATTATGCCGCTGACTGCGATCTATTGAACAATAACAATCTTTACTTGGTGTCTCATCCCGTCTGTTACATAATAGGTTAATGCATGATTTATTGTTTAACAAATCACATACATTACATCTCTCCCTTTTTATAATTTTTTGATAATATATAATTCCTTAATTAATATTAATAAATCTACACATTAAATTATTAAATAAATGTGAATATTTGAGACAAACTTATTTTCAATCTAGGTACACCTACCTTTATAACTAATTAATACCTATCTATAAATAAATAATTAAATATGATTATTAAGTTACAATTCAGAAAAATACAATACTTATACTATACCTATAATTAATTTTCTTTTAATTAACTTCTGGGGATTTCAGTAAACTCTTATTTTGTTTTTCCAAACTAGAATTTTCATTTAGGCATTTCCATTCCCCTTCTACGTTTTTTAAGTGAACAATGTTTCGTCGTACTCCTTCGCCCGTTTCGTTGTTCTTCAGTTGTACTAGAGGTGGGAAGTTCGATTCTTTTTGGTGAATCAGTTCTTTTAATTCATTCAATGATTCGTTCATTAAGATTCGTTCGCGACTGATTCACTTTCTGGTTCAGGAACAGATAATTAACGAACAATTCAGGTTCGACCGAATTAATGACTTGGTTCTTGAATCGTGTGTAATGACTTGTATTGGTTGTATCGTTAAATAAATCAACGGTTGTATTATTAAATTATTGGATTCGATTTTTATTTTGCTTACGTGTAAATTAATGGCTTTTCCGGTGCAATAACATCACAGCTTACATAAAAAACAAAATACAAGTAGGTTGTATTGGAAACTTTTGAATCAAAAGAGTATTTTGATATTTGACAAAAAATTCCCTGAAATATCACCACTTATTCAAAAAGACCGACATTTTAGCGTAGTGTAGCGTGATCCGAACCTAGCATTTAATTCAGTGCTTGTAACCAAGTTTATAT